ACGATGAGGTAGAGGCTATGTATGAGGAGATTTCTGAAGCCATACATACGACCAATACCTACTTCACCGTTGTAATGGGGGACTTTAACGCGAAGCTGGGCGCTTCGAACGGCGATGAGTTGAGGGTGGGTCGATTTGGGTATGGGCGGCGCAACCACCGGGGCCAGAAGCTGGTCGATTTCATGGAGAAGGAGGGACTCTTTGCGATGAACTCCTTCTTCCAGAAGAGACCCTCCAGGAAGTGGACCTGGATGAGCCCTGATGGTTCGACAAAAAATGAGATCGACTTCATCATGACAACCAGAAAGCACATATTCAATGATGTCTCCGTGATCAGCAGGGTGAAAACCGGTAGCGACCACCGAATCGTTAGAGGCACATTGAATATCAATGTTAAGCTCGAAAGATCACGTCTGATGAAGTCTACGCTCCGACCTAGTGCTGCTCATATCGTGGACCCCGAAGCCTTCCAACTCCAACTACACAATCGCTTCCAGTGTCTAGCTGAATGCGAGTCTGTGGACGAAATAAACAACGGGTTTGTAGAAACAGTCCAAGCTGTGGGGTCTAAGTTCTATAAGGCCCCGCGCCGTATTAAATCTCAAAAGCTCTCAGACGAAACGCTCAAGTTGATGGCGGACCGGAGGGATATGAGACTGCAATCTTCAACCGATATGTCGGAATATGGTCGACTTAACAGACGAATTTCCAAATCGATGCGACGCGATCTGCGCTCCTATAACACTACACGTATTAGGGAGGCAATAGAGCGGAACCAAGGCTCCAAAGTGTTTGCACGAAATTTGTCTGCTGGGTCGAGTCAGATGACGAAGCTGAAGATCGACGATGGCAGGATCGTATCTTCAAAACCGGAGATCCTGATTGAGCTTGAGAGGTTTTATGGACAGTTGTACACATCATCACAACAACCCGTTGAAAGCAATGCTCAGGACACCAGAGCAAAGCTGACCCGACATCACACCGAGGATATCCCAGACATCAGCCTGTACGAGATTAGAATGGCACTCAAACAGCTCAAGAACAACAAGGCACCGGGGGATGACGGAATCACTACTGAACTTTTGCGAGCGGGTGGAAAACCGGTACTCTTAGTCCTCCAGAAATTGTTCAATTCCGTCATTCTCGAGGGTACGACGCCAGAAGCGTGGCACAGAAGCGTGGTTGTGCTCTTCTTCAAAAAAGGTGACAAGACCTTGTTGAAGAATTATAGACCAATCTCGCTTCTGAGCCACGTTTATAAGCTGTTTTCGAGGGTCATTACGAATCGTCTCGAACGCCGGTTTGATGACTTCCAGCCTCCCGAACAAGCCGGTTTCCGAAAAGGCTTTAGCACCATAGACCACATACATACGCTGCGGCAGATTATACAGAAGACCGAGGAGTATAATCTGCCACTTTGCTTAGCGTTTGTGGACTATGAGAAAGCCTTCGATTCAATCGAAACCTGGGCAGTACTGCAGTCCCTCCAGCGATGCCAAATCGACTACAGGTACGTCGAAGTGTTGAAGCGTTTGTATAGCAACGCCACAATGTCGATTCGCTACCAAGAAGAGAGCACGAAACCAATCCAATTGCGCAGAGGCGTGAGACAGGGAGATGTCATTTCTCCGAAACTGTTCACGAATGCATTGGAGGACGTCTTCAAGCTCTTGGAATGGGACGAATACGGCATCAACATCAATGGCGAATACATCACTCACCTTCGTTTCGCCGACGATATAGTCATCTTGGCAAGATCGATGGAGCACATCAGTACAATGCTCAGCGACCTGAGTATCGTTTCCAAACAGGTGGGTCTTAAAATGAACATGGACAAGACGAAAATCATGTCGAATGTCCATGTTGCACCCGTACCGGTGGTCATTGGAACTGATACTCTCGAAGTTGTCGATCACTACGTGTACCTTGGACAGATAATCCAGTTAGGTAGATCCAATTTCGACAAAGAGGTCACTCGAAGAATCCAACTCGGCTGGGCAGCGTTCGGGAAGCTACGCGATATCTTCACGTCCAAATTACCACAGTGCCTAAAGACGAAGGTGTATAACCAGTGTGTGTTGCCAGTGATGACCTATGGCACTGAAACGTGGTCCTTAACTGCTGGCCTCTTAGAGAAGCTCAGAGTCGCTCAGCGAGGCATGGAGAGAGCTATGTTAGGGGTTTCTTTGCGCGATAGGATCCGAAACGTGGATATTCGCCAAAGAACTAGAGTGACCGACATAGCTCGCAAAGTTTGTAAGCTGAAGTGGCAGTGGGCAGGCCACATCGCTCGACGAACCGATAACCGATGGGGACGAAAGGTTCTCGAGTGGAGACCACGAACCGGAAGACGCAGCGTGGGTCGACCCCCGACTAGATGGACGGACGACATCGTCCGAGTCGCGGGCGGCCACTGGATGCAGCTGGCGCAATGTCGTCCGTCGTGGCGTTCAAAGGGGGAGGCCTATGTTCAGCAGTGGACGTCTTCCGGCTGATGATGATTGGTTTTTTTCGGGACTCTGGATATCATACAAAATGTCTGGACGGGTTTTTCGCAAAACGTCCACTTCGCAAAATGTCTCCCAGTCGCAAAATGTCTCTTTCTCATAATGTCTCTTCCGCAGAATGTACCTTTCGCAGAATGCCTCTTTCGAAAAATGTCGCTTTCGCAAAATGTCTCTTTCGCAGAATGTCTCTTTCGCAAAATGTCGCGATTGGGACTTAGAATAAAATCACTATCTTTTAAGATAATCATTTATTAAGGTTAGACAAATCATGAATATTTTATTCCTTATTACGTAGTAAATAAACAATACAAAACAAAATAATCACATTCAAAGGCAAAAAAAAAATCTTTCTTTATTGATTGAAGGATGAATAATTGTTTTTTGATTGTTACATTGTATGGAATAATTAACCCTTGCTTCTTATTTAAATGAATTACAAAAATCACCCATAAACACAATGTAAATAATTGAGACTTTTACATGATGAAACAAACAAATAAAAATTAAAATAGGCTATAAAAAAACATCATGCTAGTAGATTTGAACCTATTTATACATTTGTAAAAAGATTATTTTTTTTGTTAATTGCGGTAGCGTCAATTCCTGGCGATCAAATTGTCGTAGTAGTTTTTTGTATTTTCTGTCAAAGTATACAGGAATAATTTAAAACCACTGCGAAGATTTTGTGAAAATAAACTTTAAGTAATTTAAATAGACACGTATTTTTTATTTTGGTATGTTCTAATACTAAAAAATAAAGTTATCGCTTATTAAAGATCGAGATTTTAAAACTTAATTTATGGACACCGCGCGCCGTGCGTCAGCTGAGCGCTCGCTCGACGCCGGCCGTAGGCATGTACTCGTAGGTACCTATCTACACGGGTCACTGGCCGCTCATTTTGTTAGATTCGAACTAGATTTTATGCCATGATCTGAGGTGATTTCTAAAAGTAATTCCAATTTTCCCTTCATACTTTTATGGTTAAGGCCATCACAATGCAACAAAATAAAAGAGAAACAAATTCGTTACCTAGAAAAAAATATTAACGTTATGCCGAAGTTACTTAGGTACTTCTGCGTTAAGGCGTATTTAAAAAAAATAGAATCAACTACGTATTTACAATAATGTTGAATCAAAACAAATACCTAACTAATTACTTACCATGTATTTTAATATTTGTTCAAAATGAAGTCCACGTCTGTCCAGACATAAACGTGCACATTTCATTAAATTGTCATTTAAATTGTTTAAAACACTAGTGTCACTTTTCACTTCACTGAAAGCGTTATTATTTTTTATTGTTAAGTCTTCTAGACTTTGTGCCTCCTCTACATCTCGGCGTTTGACTTCTTCCCATAAGAAACAGTCCCTCACTTGTGAACAATGCCTCATCCGTCTACAAGATGTTTGCATCGCGGTGATGTAGAAGCCACTCACATAAGGCTCGACGTGGTACTGGGTCTAGGTCATGGAACTGCTGAACCGGCTGAAAGTGGTACGGATGGAGTCCGGCTGTTTTTAGCAGCTTCAATACCGCAGGCTGGCTCACACCACAGAGATATGCCGCATCGTGGGTACTGACTCTGGGACTTCGTCTGTTAAAATGGTTCGAAGCATTAGGGACCGCGGGGTTACGGATCCCAAAGGCATACGAGGTATGCTCTTCGTCGCATACTTTCTCCGAATTGCGCTTATGTAGGTTCTCACCACTCAGAAGATAAACTCGTACATCTCGTAAAACTCACGACGGCGGGCGCGTCGCGTGCGCGGGAACGCGAGGACACGTCACATCGGCGCGTGCGTATGAGTCTCACTGTCGCGCGCGTCGCTCGGTCCCGGCGGGGCGGTGGGGGCTGTGGCGGGGGGCTATCGGGCGCGGCGGGGTTACACGGTGGCATACGCAAGAGAAGACGTTTTCATTGAAGTTTTTTTTAAAAAAATGTGTCCATATTCTACCGTTTCGATAGGGATAAAAACATTAAAAAAAATTTTTTAAACTAATTATGGAAAAGTGTTCTATTACTGATACTGAACCACCAAAAAAAATTTTTGCACTGGAAAAAAAATATTCCTGTATATCTTTTGCCTGTCGGTTATTGGTTTTTGTATTAGTGAATAAGCTGTCTAATATTTTTTTGTCCCAATATTTGCTCTCTTTTCGCAATTTATATATAAGCATGTATAAATTTGGCTTTCTTGGAATACGGCCTGCATTTATACGCCGATGCCATCCTTCCACCGCGTTAGTTGTGCGATGGCGTTGATTAGCGCAACTCAACATGCATGGTGCCATTTTCGGGTACCATTGGTTTTCGTAATAATGTCTAAAACTGTTCATTTCTTGACTATCCGGAGCTATACTTAAAATATATCCCCAAGTAGCAGGGATTTGATTGGCCGGCATCAACGCTATTATTGCTGTAATTCTTGCAACATTTCGCCCAGCTCTTGTGCGCAGTAAGCCTTTTTTTTCTGCATTTTTCCATATTGCTGCATTATAATGTCTATAACATCCTGTAATCTCTGCTTCGGGAAAAACTGACTTCACAGCATTAATTTGCGCCATTTCATAATCACATTTAAATGTCTTAATGATAATACCTAATTTTTGTTTCAATATGTTATATAGACGCGTATACGTCTCTTGGGATTTATTAGGCAATAAAGTATAAATAACTGGAACTATATTTGTACACATTTTAGTAGAATTAATGTCCAAATGCAAGACATAGAACTGATAAAAAGGTGGCGGCGCTGACATAAACGTACCGTCTGCATAATAGGATCCGGGCTTCTTTAAAATCTTCTTTGATACACATGTTGCAAATACCAATATTTTTTCACTTTGACCTTCTTCATAAATAAGGAATTTTCTACCCAAAACTTCTGGCACGGTTATAGTTTCCGTACTTATATGTTGTAGCCGATCGACATTCAAAAAAGACTTCCGTGCTCTATATAATGTGTCCCTAATAGTCTTAAAGACAGGAATGAGGTAATGTTGAGATTTCGGTATTTTTTGACGAATTTTTTCATCATATTCTTCATAAATTTGTTGTATCGGCCGAAAGTCTTGACAAACGATCTTTTTCAAAGAAGCTATATGTTCATTAATTACATTTTTAAATTCCATAGGCTCACATGTATGCACAGTTTTCCGTTTAGTGATTTTTCCTGTTTTGTCTAATGATAACGAAGCACTACATTCTCGCCTATTTACGCACCGCCATAAAGTGCTTCCACTTTTATTTGTTTTGCTTTTATTATATCTGTACTCACAGTATATAAGTGTTTTATGTCCTTTTTGATTTATAACATATTCAATTTCTAGATCCATATTTAAACACAAAATCACTGATATTTTTCATTAATGTAAAAAAATAAAGACAGATACGAAATAATTCACACTCACGCAGTAATGACACAAGCATTTATAAGTTTTTCGATATACCCTCAGATATTTATATAAATATATTTTTTTTTTGCCTTTGAATGTGATTATTTTGTTTTGTATTGTTTATTTACTACGTAATAAGGAATAAGATATTCATGATTTTTTCTAACCTTAATAAATGATTATCTTAAAAGATAGTGATTTTATTCTAAGTCCCAATCGCGACATTTTGCGAAAGAGACATTCTGCGAAAGAGACATTTTGCGAAAGCGACATTTTTCGAAAGAGGCATTCTGCGAAAGGTACATTCTGCGAAAGAGACATTTTGCGACCGAGAGACATTTTGCGAAGTGGACGTTTTGCGAAAAACCCGTCTGGACAATCCAAATGAATCCCGACCATCTGGCAACCCTAAATGCGGTACAGGTTCTAAAACACATAGTGGTGGCGTCACGAACCAAACTTGTAGCGATTGCTGAATGTGTTTGTGCTTCTAAATGAAAGTCTGAGTATTACTTTACTAACTAGTTAGAATTAGGGAAATAATTGACTTTGAACTATTGCAAAACTGATCCGATCATGAAAATTCTTTTACATATGGGAAGCCGTGACGTACACGCGGGTGATATAGGCTATACTATATTACCCGCGTGAACATTATGGCTACCCGAGAATTTATAAGAAAAAAGTCATGAATACAGCTAGTATAGAAATAATTTAAGATCTAAGTTAGGATACAATTTACACAAACAAAATGTCTATTATTTGTAAAAGCATACATAAATACAGAACTCCCTTAACTCAGCCAGGAATGGTCTTGTTTATTGCTACAAATTGCCACAAATGGGTTCTGAAATGTTACCAATTACACAGCAATTGCCGTGTAACACGGCATTCGGAACCTATTCAGAAAAAACACAACACATGGCAGCACGACTCACGAAACATTAATTGTACTAATTTTTCTTCACAATTTTTTAACGTTGATGAATCGTTAAATAATATAATTTATAGTTACGAGTCGTTTAGGTCATCCCATGATACATACTAAGTAATGTATGTGTTACGTTCAAAGATTGAAATCACTCATTGCGAGGAAAAATAGCTCACGACGCGTTGTGGCATTTTCAGAATAATGTCATGCTATTCGACCACAACAAACGTGTCTTCGGAACCATGAAGAATCTAGTTAATATTTGGCCACCCATCCAATGACTGACTCTTACGAAAGTTGCTTAATCACCGCATTACATTACGCTATCAAGGTCCTCATCATCATATACAGAAAAAAATATTACAACGTATATTTTATTGTATGAACACAGCAGTTAGGCTACCAAAATATGTGAAATTTCCATAGTTGATTTAACCCTGTAACCCTCATTCCATTAAAGATTGAAATCAAGCTGAGAAAGACAGATTTGTATAAATTGATGTGCTATTTGCTGTACATAACTAGTAGGAACTTAAAAGTACTTTATAATTCGAAAGGCAGTTGAGAAGTCGAAGGCTTTTTTTATAGTGACACGGGAATTCTCAGCTTCACTGTGCTTTTCATAACTCTTAGAAAATGAAAAATGAATTTAAATATTTTATTTTTGTACCTATTTCAATAAATATTCGACAATTTAGATTGTAATTTGCTTATTAGTAAGTATTTAATATTCTACTAAATAGTAGAGAGTAAATACTTACCTGTTCATATTTCTACATATATTAAGTTTCATTTTGGAATTCAACGATCGCTTTAAACCTATCAGAACGACAACGTATATCCATCGCTTAAGCCTACTCTAAAAGATTTAATTGATCATCCATTACGGTCGCTTTGGTTTTTTACGCGACTGCAAAGAAAGGGTCATGTTTTTCGCACGTATCTTGTATGTATTGTAATATTCTTTATCACCTCATATCTTCAGAACCGCTGACGATTTAGATAATTGAGTAAGGTATTGTTAGATTTGTCTTAGTAGCCAAAGTGTTTTTAGATAGGTAACGATAAAAAAATCAAATATGGCCGCTGTGCGACGCCATTAGATTTAATGTTTTTTTTTTCAAATACTATTATTTAGGTATTAAAGGCCTTAATACAAGGATTCCAAAAAGTTAGATCATGATTATTATTACCTGAACACCAATAAAAATAATACAATGATATAGTTTAAAAATATGCACTTTCTGAACCAACCTGGTTATTTGTCTAACTAAAAATACATAAATAAAATTATAATTGAATAAAAGAAAAAACCCGCCTGCGTGAAAAATAACTAACTGAAAAGGCTTTGTGCATGCCTCCAACTGCATGTTATGTATGATGTTGTATAAATTTGTTATTTTATTCCAGCCTTTTCTGTTAGTTGTTTTTCATGCAGGCGGGTTTTTCACAGTACAATCAGAGTAGTAAGTGTAAGTGTTACGTTAACGCGTTCACTAGTGAGCACATTAAGAACTTGTATGAAGATTTGTAGTTCTTTATAGTTACCGATAAAGGCACTGTACCGGATTCTATACTAAAATCTTAACGCGCTCACGATATCAAAGGTGAATGTAAACGTAAAAGAAACTGACACTAAACGCTCAGGTTATCATGAAAGACCAAACTTCTACATAAAACTTTAAACTCAATTTTCAACTGATTACAATCTAGAATTTGGTAGCAACGTCACGTGTCAGTATTTTACAGATACCTTGCTGAATTATCATATTCTTTGATCAATTTTATATATTTAGGAAAGGCGAAGAAATATACATAAGTACAAACAGTCATGTTTTTCAAAAGCAAATATTATTCAATCTGCACCGACTTCAGACCTTCCTTTTAATTTTATTCGGCTAAAATAATCCAAATTGAGCCTGTTAATTAATTACTCCAAAACCACAAGGAACATAATTAGATTCACTCACGCATGACAATGTCACCAAAAGATTCCTTTTCTCTTAACCAAAGAAATTACATGCTGTACCTTTGTAACGAAATCAAGCTTAAACCAATCTTTGGTAATTAGGTAGGGTAATGTTTTTTATTAAGATATTTATACCTACAGGATACAGTGCAGTAAAACACAATCAATATGACTCACGAAGTTAGCTTACTTTCTAAGCATGAATCAGAATAATTCAAATAGCGCACATTATGCGCGTCCGCCGAAAATGAGTTATAAGGACACCCAATGCGTTGTATTTTAAACGATATGGCTATGAAATTAAAACAATACTACATGTAGTAGATACATTTAAAAAATGCATTATATCATGGTTGGCGGGTATGAGTACGTACGAGGACTTACATATAGTAGTTGTTGGGTTTATACAGGTATAATTTATAGGGTGTTAACAAATAAGTTACTTACATATATTTTTACAGCTGATAGTACTCGGCTCTCAGAGAACAATCCAGTATAAATCATTATAGGCTTTGTGATTTTTTTTTTTACGAAAACTCGAATACAAATTTGCTACTTCAAACATCCGTTAATTAGATTGAAATAAACTTACGTCTTTTGACTGTAACTTAACACTAATTAATAATAAAGTTTTTGTGTAATAATGACGTTTACTACAGACAACTGTTGACATGACAAAAAGTGTTAACATTTTTTCTAGAAGGATTATTTTTAGATAAAATTATATTTTTGTTCGTTAAAAGAAATCAAAAAATTTATATGAAAAGTTTTCTTAATTAATATTATACCTTAATTGTTAATATGATAAAAACTTTTTTTTATATAACCTACTTCAAACTTTAAAAAAGTGATAAATAATACTTATCTCAAAAGTGAGTTATTCAAAAATATGCTATTGAAAGCGGAGGTTTACTGTAGGTTATATATTTAATGATAGGCACCCTACTTCAATAGCATTTTCTAGAATAAGTCTCTTTTGTGGTAAGTATTATTTATCATTATTTTAAAGTTTGAAGTGGGTTCTATTTTTAGTAAAAACAAAATTATTGCATGTTTTTTAGTGATATTGATACTTTTTATAGACTAGGTAACACGAAAAATATACTAAATAAACTAAATATATTAAATATCCTATATAAATAAAAATATTCAATATAGTGACATTCTTAGAAAAGGAGATTTTGTTTATTTGTTCGACATATTTTTTTCCAATATAAATTATATCCATATTATAATATGGAAAAATTTGATTGCTTATTTGTTTGCATTGGATAGGCTCTGAAACTATAAGGCCGATTTATAAAAGTCTTTCATCTTCGGGAAACTACATAATATTTCTTTCGTCTGTTTGGCTGGATTGCCTAAACATTGATGGAAGGAAATACGCCCTGTAGTAGCGAAAAGTAACAAGTGCTTGAACAAATCGTCAGCCCTGTTAGATTCTGGTTAGCACAGTGGTTAGAACAGTCGCCCGAATTGCGAAAGATCGTGAAAAAAAATTTTTAAGCATTTTGCATTTAGAATAAATAACATATCAACTAAATTAACTATCAGTTCCAGAGAAAACCTTCGTTTACAAAATAAATAAATCACGTCAAACACTAACAACTGTTATCAAAGTTCAACAGAAACTTCAAGCGATGAAAACTTAATTAATACTATTCAGTTTAGTGTATCTTCATAGTTTGGCATGATTAATGTTTGAAGCTGGTGATCATTAACAATTAAACAAATCAGTTACTTCACGAATACATTAATGATGTAAAGAGGATTAATATTATTTGTGTTTTTTTGTTTCTAATGGATGAACTCAATTAAACAGTTTATTTGGATGTTATTTCTTACTAGGTATAAAGATAGTTCAAAGTTGGTGATTTATGTATAAGTTAATGGCGTCGAAATAGCAGATTATTTTGACGCTAACTCCGAGGATTTTCGGGTAAAGATTAATAAGCCAATGAAATAAATAAAACTGTAATTTTAATACTATTTACTTGAAAATAAACATTGCGATTTAATAACTCAAAAACATGTATTGGTTTTTGATATTCAGGTTTATTATGAGGCAATAAAAGTAAGTACTAATTTCTACAAGAAATTTGTATTACAGAAAGTAATCGTTATGGCGTAGACCAATGATTTGGTTCATGGTTATTGCACTAATCCTTTGCCGTAGCGATGTCAAAACATCGATTATCGATACCTATCGATTAGTAGGAATTGAGAACAACATTCTCTGG